TAGTAGTAGTAGTAGTAGTAGTAGTAGTAGTAGTAGTAGTGGTAGTAGTGGTAGTGGTGGTAGTAGTAGTAGTAGTAGTAGTAGCAGTAGTAGTAGCAGTAGTAGTAGTAGTAGTAGTAGTAGTAGTAGTAGTAGTAGTAGTAGTAGTAGTAGTAGTAGTAGTAGTCGTGGTGGTGGTGGTAGTAGTAGTAATACGAAGAAGTATACTTTGAATAATACTAGTAATAATACTAATGAAAAGGAAGAACGCAGAACAAGAGAAAGACAAATGTCGCCCTCGCTTGAGAGCCAGCGGAGGCGGACGGAGTGAACATCGGCGCCGGGCCTGCCAGCGGAAGTTTGGCGGGCGTAACCAGAAGATTGAAAACCCCGAGTCTGGAGGTCGAACCTCCACTTTAGAGGAAAAGGGCCCCCAGGATGGAATAATCAAACTTCCAGAATGGAGGCCGAACCTCCATCTTGAGTGTCCTTGATCCTGTTCGTAGACGTGGGGCAACGACGCATTTTTGGGCTGGCCGTGGTGCTCTATCGGGGGCCCCCGCAAGCAGGGGCCCGGGCCCCCGCGGCGCCAGCACGCTTGCCTTGGGGCGGTGCCCGCTGGCGGCCGCGGTCGCGGCTGACCAGGCAGCGCCGCTGCGCCTCTCCCGCCTCCACGAGGCCCTGGACGCGGACATCCGGGGCAACGACAAGGGGGAAACTGGCGCGGGGGGGGGGGAGAGGGCATCGACCCCCAATCGCCTGTTCCTGGCCGATTGGGGCCTGGGTGCCCCAACCTGCCCCAGAACGCGAGGTTTCGCCGTCGAGGGCCCATTGCCGATATATCGGCGACGTACCGCCGATTCCAGGTCGTTGTTCTTCCCCTGGGCCAGTCCCCCCCTTTATTCTCCCCCCTTAGGACAGCGACTCGCTCTCTGACATCAGCACCCTGGCGGCAAGGGCAGCCAACCGCAGGCCTCTGCAGCGGGCTGACTCTGTCAGTCTGGGCTGGGGGTCTCTGCCTCGATCTCGGCGTCAAGGGGGGCTGCTCTTCGGGCCCACGGGCCGCCCTCGTCCTCTCACTCCTGTCCTCCTCTTTCTCCTACCTCTTCTTCTGCCTCTGCCCTCCTCCTTCTCACGTCTTCAGCCTCCTCTCACCCCCCTCCTCGCCCTCCCCCCTCCCTCACAGCGAGGGGGTGGAGCTCGCTACCCTCTTTTCGGCTGCCCCCTTGAGGTGGACGACGGCGAGAGCACCGGCGACTCCACTGACGAGTCTGAGGAGGACGGCGGACCATCAAAGCACGCCATTGCCGAGCAACCATCCCTCGCCGTCGTCGCGCGGGGGCGGGTGGGGATCGGATCGGATCGGATGACAGAACACGGTCAGCCTGCAAAAGAGCCTCAACAGCACCAGGGGGGATCCTTTTACTCTGCCGGCCCGCCCGAGAAGGAGGACGAATCAGGGTCTCCCTCCCTCCCTCTCCCCACCCTCCCCACCTCCTCCTCCTCCTCCTCCTCCTCCTCCTCCTCCTCCTCCTCCTCCTCCTCCTCCTCCTCCTCCTCCATCCATGTTCCTCACAAATGACCCCTTCCTGCCGCACCTCCAGATGTTTCGGTCGGGCGGGTTGGCGTTTCGCCTGAGATGTCTCACCACTCATGATCTTAAAGCTTGAAATTTCAACAGCTTCACGGATGGAGGGCGGTCCGGTTCAAAATGTGGTTATCGCCTTCGCGCCGCGCACATGCGTCGTAAACGCTTGCAGTCGTTCCAAAGATGGGTGGCGGCCCCTTTTCAGAATGTAACTCTCTCCCTAACGCAGCGCACATGCCTGTCGAAAGTTCAAAGGATGTTCAAGGTTTGATGCGGCTGAAGTCCCAGGAACTGTGTTCAGGCCCAGTCTAGCACTGTCAGGACGCAACAGTTATATGACGAATGACTCACGGTGTTGAAGTCCCAGGAATGGTGTTCGGGCACGCACGGTCTAGGATTGTCAGGATGCAACATGCACATTGGCTCGAGGCGCTAAAGTCGCAGGAATTGTGTTCTGGCGCGATTCAGGATTCTCAGACGGTGCTCGAGGAGTGGAACGTGTACTGCTGCCCGGAGAAGGGCATCCTGCTGTACCCGCTGATTACCAGGCGCTCCAGAGGGACCCGCGCTTGAGGGATCGATCAGTTGGCACTTCTTACCCAGCGGAAGGCCAACAGAAACCGGCGGAAGAGACACGAGGGCTCGGCTGGCTGAAGGCCGGCTTTCTAGAAGCTGGCAAAAATAAAAGATCCCCTTCTTTTTCCCTCCGAGGTGCCAGCAATTCTGTATTCAGTGTTCCCGGAACCCGCCAGGTGAGCGAAGAGGGGAGCCAGCCCGCGCGCACGCGGGCACTAGCGCGTGGGCTGCCTGCGTACGGTCGCGCGAGCGCCGTCGCTCCCGCGCAGTGTGCCGCGTCGGTGGCCGGCGTGATCCACCGCGCCAGGTCGCCATGACCTCTCGCGCCAGGCCCGCCCCCGCAAAGACACCTCCGACGGATTGGCTCTTCCGCCCGCCAGGCCAAGAGGCCTCGACCCCGCCCCTCCCCAGGGAGCACGCTGTCATCTGGGGCCTGGCCCTGGTGGCCACCCCAGGGCCCGCAGACGGCCGCCCCGGACGCCGAAGCGGGCCTCGATCCTCGACCTTTTTGGAGATCTTGTTCAGATTCCTGGAGCCTCGGATCCTGGAACTTCGAGCCTCGGAGCCTCGAAGTTCGGAGCCTCGAGCCTTCGAGCCTCGGAGGTCTTGGTCTGATTCCCCTCCACCGCCCAGGTGGTTCGGCGACGGAGAGAGCGCCGACTCGGAGGACGACGAGGACGAGGTGGGCTCGCCCCACGAGGCGGGGTGTACTGCCCGAGCCCGTGCGCGCGGGGCAAGGGGAGGAGGCAGGGAAGAGGGCGATCACGCCGTCGTTGTCCTCATCGGGGACATGATGTTCTTCGCAAGAAAACGCATCCATGCATGTTACCTTCAGCGAGTTCGCTGCCGCAAAACATGTTTGCCTCCAGTGGGCTCATTGCCTCCTCTCCTTCCTCCCCAACCTCGTCTCCCCTCCTCCGCGCGCTCCCTCGCGCGCCCTACTCCCCCCTCCCTCCTCCTGCTTCCTCCCCTCTTTCTTCTTCCTCCTCCTCCTCCTCCTCCTCCTCCTCCTCCTCTTCCCTCCCGGCGGAAAGACCCACGGGCGCCAGAGTTGGCCTCCCTCCCCCTTCGCCAAGGGGACCCGTGGGGGCACAGGGGGGGGCTTTGAATTAACCAGCATGAATTACACCTAGGGCGGGGACTACAAAGCCGACACGACACAAGAGGAGAAGGAGGAGGAGGAGGAGGAGGAGGAGGAGGAGGAGGAGGAGGAGGAGGAGGAGGAGGAAGGGGAACTGGCTGCAGCAGGGGCGGCCCGGCGGGGAAGGGGAGGCAGGAGAGGGCAGGGGAAGGACGCGGGCGGGAGGGGGACGGGGGACGGGGGGCGGTGATGGTCGTGGGGGTCGTGCTGGGTGGTCGTAGTGGTGGCCGTGCTGGCGGTGGTCGTGCTGCCTGGCGGCCGTGCAGGTGATGGTCGTGCTGGGTGGTGGGTCTGCTCTTCCCCTCCGCGTCGCTCTTTTTGGGGCAACGTCCTGCTGAAATGGGCCAGGTGGTCTGTCGCCCTTCACCTGGGTGCGTCGAACTATTTTCCAGATGGGCACCACCTGTGTGGCGCTCTCCGGACGGTCGTCCGACACGCCAGACACCGATGACCATTTGTCCTAAGGGTGGATCGGGAAGGATGCTTTCAGGGGAATTGGATTGACAACCTCTGACCCTTGGCCCCTCTTTTCCTCAGATCTCCAACTCACGTTTACCCCCACAGACGAGGACGGAGCGGGGGGGCGAAGATGGATGAGGAGAAGAAGTTGGAGGAGGAGGAGGAGGAGGAGGAGGAGGGAGAAGGAAGGAGCAAGCAGAATGGAGGAGGAGGGGCGAGGGATCAGGTGGCGAGGATGAGGACGAGATCCTGTCCCACCCCATCGAGGCGAGGCCCTGCCCCAACTCGTCCGCGCGGTGGATTTTCGCCCGCTACGCGGCGGCGGCACCGGCCGCCGCCGCGAGCGGCGGCAGCAGCTCGGGCTCCGCCCTGTCCGCGCCGCCGGCGCTGCCGTCGTTGACGAAGTTGGAGGTGCGCCAGGCGTAAGGGGCAGCGAGAGAGAGAGAGAGAGAGAGAGATCTATATATATATATATATATATATATAATCAGTGCCAGCACGTGTTTCTTCTGAAGTTTAATAGAACGGTGCGATCCCCTCTTTGTTCCGTAGCTGTGCGGGCTCAAGCTGCAACTTTATGTCTTCTTGGTGGCCCGCTCTCACCACAGCCGGCTCCTGTCAGAGAGAGGCTCTTGAGGCCTCGTTCTATTGCTTTGGCTGGACTGCGAGTTTGAACGGCTCGTACACTTCTGAGGGCATCTTAGTGGCTGTCATCATCGCTCTCGGGGCGGCGCTGATTTTCTTCTCAGGTTGTTGCTGCGGCGTGCTGTCCACCGCTTTCTTCCAGATCATCTGGCTTCAGCTGCTTGGATTTTTCGAGAGACGGACGGCTCGCCGTGCTGCTCACGAGGCGGCTCCTGCGCTGCCACCTGTCCCAGCTGGGCCTGTACACGTACCACCTCAGGTCGTGAAGCCAGCCAAGCACCATGGAGCGGGGCACGAGAGTGTTCGTGAAGTACGCGGGTCATCCCATATGGCACGAAAGACTTTTACTGGAGAAGGTGGGCGATTCGGCGACTGAGTGGATCATCGCGATGCCTGACAGTGACGTTCACTTGGTGGATTTCAGCCGCCACAACGAGGACATCGAGGGCTTCCGCCTGTCCGATCGCCGCGGCGGGGGGCCCCACGGCGTCGACCCGCAAGACGTCTATCGGTTCCGCCAGGAGCCGGAGGGAGCCCACCTGCAGGGCCTTCGGGAGGAGGCCAGGCTGTTGGCGCGCTCCGAGGCTGCCCGCGGTGGGGGCGCTCCCGCTGGTAACGCCGACCAGTGGGATGCGATCGAGGAGGCGCCTGGCATCAAGGGGGGCAGCGTCGTTCGCCTCACCGACGACGCGGTTTTCAGCGGCGACAGGGCGATCCATTTCTACGTGCACGAGGGCGTGGAGAAGCGGGTCTTCTGCGTCAGGTGCCCTGCTGCTGACCTGGCCGACGTTAAGAAGAGGTTCCGCATCGAGACGGAGGACGACGGATACGCGCGGACCCTGCCTATCAAGAACGTGGGGGGCCAGCGCAAGCGGGACTTCAGCGACGCGGTCGAGAAGATGGAGCTCGTGAGTTTCTCGGACTGGGAGACGCACATCCCAGGCCCGAGGACCACGCGCTGGTGCCTGGACTTCCTGAGGCGGAGGAACGGGCCCCTGGCGCATCATGAGTGGTGGAAGTCCACGGCCAAGCTGAACAGCGACGACTACGGGGTCTCGTTCCACGGGGCGGTGCTGCGCGCGGTGCAGACAGGCGCGGAGTATGATCAACTCGATCTGGTCAACTTGGCATCGATGGAGCACCTGCTGCCCTCGGCCCAGCTGATCGAGTACTATCATCGAGAGCGCACCCGGCAGGAGGGGGCGACCAGCTCCAAGACGGGACTGGACATGGAGGAGCAGACGGTCATGCTGGGGGCCCACCAGAGTCAGGGCAACCTCATGATCGCCCCTGAGCTGATCACGTACACGTCGAAGGAGCTGGAGCGGCAGAGTGCAATTGACAAGCAAACCCGCAAGGCGCGTGAGGAGCGCGCCCTGCGGCGGCGAGGATGATGATGAGCGTTGGCCAGGCTTTCCCTCGCGCCTGGTCGGCTTCGCGGGAGGGGGGCCGCGTCATTTCAGCCAGTGACGCGGTAGCGAAGGCGGTTGATCCTGCTCTTGGGGCTTCGCAGCTTCGAGGGTGCCGTGCGGTGCAGCGACGCTTCAGGAGAAGGGAGCGCGTTGGCGAGAAGGTTGCTGCCCTTGGCCGTGCACTCGCGGAACTCGAGCGAGGTGATGGTCTTCCTGAGCCGGCTGAGGGCCAGGCCTCGCTTCTATCGCTTGCTGAGCATACCTTTGTAACCTCTCGGGTGCGGCGCATGGGGTGCCCACCAGAGGGGCTTGATCCTCGGGGGGCCTTCAGTGAGCTCCAGGGGGTCGAAGACTACGCTGGGATTCCGTGCCACCTGGCTCCTCTTGATGTGGACGAGCTGTCACTCCCACAGCCTGGCTTCCAGCCGCGGCCCCTGGGCGACCTTTTGGGGGCCCGCGGCGCTGAGCTCATCAGGAGGATTTCATGTGATATAGTTTTGCCTAAGGAGCTGCTGCAGCAAAGAAATCGCGAGGAAGCTGGTCTAGTTAGACCATGCAGTGACCCACGGTCTGCGTTCTAAAAGGGTGTGCAAGTCTCTCGTGGCTCGCCTTCAGGCCGCGGGGCTCGTCGAGTTCAGTTTATCGGATGGAGTCCGAACGGGCATCTTTGCTGTTTGGAAGTCGGACGGGGTGGAGCAACGCCTCATCCTGGACGCCCTGATTTCCAATTGTAGTTTTGAGGTCCCCGAGTCGCCCGATTCCCCCACGGCCAACGCTTTTTCGAGGTTGGGGCTCCAGGGGGAAAGTCTGTTGCATACGTTTTCCTCGGATTTGAAGGATGCTTTTTTACGCTATGGAACTCCCTGACCCCCTTAGGAGGTATTTCACCATGGAGCCCCTCAGTGCCAAGGACTTGCAGATCTCGGAGGTGTCTGGGGCCCCGGTGGATCCTGCTACTCGCGTTTACCCACGGTTCAGGGCAGTACCTATGGGGTGGTCGCACGCTGTCAATGTCTGTCAGTATGTTGTCACTTCCTTGATCCAGGAGGCGATCCCAGATAAGCACCACTTCCTGATCACGGATCGGGGGGTCATTCCGAAGTTGGAGGAGGGGGCGGTTATACCTTATGTGGACAACATCATTACCATAAGTACCGAGGTGGAGAAGGGGAGGTCCATCCAAACAAAAATCAACACCATCATGGAGGAGAGGGGTCTCGTCGTTCATGATAAAATATTTGATCCAGATGTTCTCGAGGCCTTGGGCTGGGAGTTCCGTCGAGATGATAGGTGCATTGTGCCGAAGCGACGCCGCGTCTGGCGCCTATGGCTTGCACTTGTTCGCGCACTTGAGCGCCGCCAGGGGACTGGACGTCAGCTTTCTCGGCTCGTTGGACACTTTGTCTCTATGGCGCTGGTGAAAAGAGAAACCCTCTGCTGTCTCAACGCGGTGTGCGCTTTCGTGGCTCGGCATCCCGAGGACTCAGCTCCGTTCTGGCCGTCGGTCGCCAGGGAGCTCCGCTGGGCCCAGTCTGTGTTGCCTCTCCTCGTCCGCGATCCGGCCAAGCCTTTCAGTCCCAGGGCCCTGGCCTGTGACGCCTCGATGTGGGGGAAAGGGGTCTCGCGCAAGTCCCTCTCCATGGGGGTGATTCGGGGCCTCTCGCAGTACTCGGAGCGTTGGCGGTACCAGGGGGCCTCGG